GGGCCCAGGTGCTGGAGCAGGGGCTGCTCCAGGAAGCCAGCCTCCTTGCCAATGGGGCCCTGTCCCCTGCAACACCTCCACCCAGCAGTGCCCGAGGTGCACAAGGCTACATGCCCAGCTGTGGCACAACTTGGCTTCATCTGGGGGGCAGGCCTCCCACTGGCCTTTCCTGTGGGAGGTCCTCATGCTCTGGATGCGCAGCCAACGTCCACCAGATCCCTCCGGGTAGGCCTGGGCTAGAACCCCACGGACCAGTCAGGAGACACTGCTGCATTCTGTGTCCAGCCATCACCGCTAGCAGAGCCCATGGGGTGTGGGAATGTGGGTGTTCCTCCATCCTGGCCAGTGAAGGCCTGTGCCAGGGAGACCCTTCTCGTGACACCAGATGCCTCCCCTGGAAGCCCCCCACCTGGGGCCTCAGCTGTCACCTGGCTATTGGCCATGGGGGCCTGTGATCCTGATGGAGAGCAGGGGCTTCATGTCAAGGCCCACCCCACCTGTTTCCTGGCAGAGAGGAAGAGCCCCCCTCCACCTTGAAGCTCTCAGTGCTGAGATCAGGTGGCTCCTCCCCCATCCCCAATCTGCTAAGAAGCCATGTGACAGTGGCCACCTCCCACTGCACTCCAGGACACACAGGGCTCCCACCCTGCCGCTTCCTGTGGCTCTAGAGCACTGACCTGCTAAACTGCTAACTGATTTACTTACTGTAGTCACTGCCTGTTGAGCCCCACTGACTATAAACTCTAAGGAGAGGACTTTATGACCCTGTCCCCAGTGCCTAGGACATGGCAGGGGAGCCATCAAAATGGTGGGGTGGAGGAGAAAGAGCCATCCGGGGGCTACTCCACAGCCCCCTGGGAGGAAAACATGTGGACACACTGCAGAGGGGGTCCCTGTGGGCTCCTTCTGCCAAGGAGGCAGCGTGTGGCATTTGGTTTGAACAGGCCACAACATGGACTCCTGCCCAGAAGGTCACCAAATCCACAGCCATCTTCGTAAAAACCTGAGCTGGTCTCTTGATCTTCACTGAGTGGCTTCTGATGGCCAAGAGGTCTGGGAAGCCTTGCAGCACCAGACTCCGGGGGCTGTCCTTGTCCCCCCGCCCTGCAGCAGCACATGCCAATTTCTCTTAAGAATGTCTTGGAGAAGGCAGCACTAGGCCTTGGCCTTTGAGGTTCCATGTGACCAAGCAGAAAGTGTCGTGAAGCGCCAGTGAGAGTGGGTGGAGGTGAGTGTGCGTAGCAGTGGGGGCTGCCTGCCAGGAGCAGGTCCCACAGACACAATGGGATCCCACAGATGCAAGTGGCAGACTGGGTGTTCTGCCATGGGCATCTGGCAGATACCGTCTTGAAAATGGGCCTGTCCCCCAAGGGAGTCAACTGGCAGCATTTACCAGTGATGAAATCTAAACTTTCATGCAAAAATCAGAAATCTGAAAAACTTGTCCCCACCAGGAGCTTGGAACTTCCCTGCTTGCAGGCTTCTCTGTGGGGACCCATGGTGACATCAGCAAACGTGATTGATGCTGCTGGGTGAATTGTGTTGGTGTCAGGAAGATGCCCGTCACAGTGAGTCACAAAGCCACAGTGGCAGTCACTGAAGGGCAGGTGGCAGGCAGATCATAAGGATGCAGAAGGGAGGTGGTGGCGGTGGCTGCAGAGGCCTCAGCTGCACGTGAAGAACCACACTCCCGAGTTCCGCCTCACAGCCTCTGCGCCCAGTTCTGTCTTCTCCGGTTCTTTCCCTGGACACTGGTTTCTGAGTCACTCCAGACGCAGCCCAACAGTGCCCACAGCAGGTGGTGCAGGTGGCCCAGGTGGCTTCCCTGAAGAGCAGTGCCACTCTCTCCTCTCACCAAAACCTTCTTGTTTGGGAAAATATATTTTTCCCAGAATTGTTACCAGTGTAACATCATGGTTCATTGTTATCTTGAAATGAATAAATGTCTTTCAAATATCTAGTCTAATTTCTAATAAAGTCTACTAACAGGCATCCACCTTGGTAGTTGGAACCCCCAGGCAAAGTCCTTTGGTGTCTCTGATCATTTTTCAAGTTGCAAGGGGTAGAGGTTGGAGTCAGGCAGCGGATTCAGGAGTGAAGCAGCTGGGCGGAGACTGCCACGGGCTCCCACTTCTTTTTCCTCCCAGTCCTCCACATGCCCAGGCCCAGCCAAGCTCTGAGCAGGCCGTGGCTCCTCGGGTCTCAGTTTGCAGGTCTGTACTCCTCAGGAGGCCGAGCATGTCTTCACACAGAGCTTGTTCTCACACAGAACTTGTTCTCTAACCTCGGGCCCCTTTCTTTTTTCATATGAATTTAAACATAATTTCATCCATTTCACAACAACAGTGTGGTTGAGCATGCAGCTGGAATTGCATCAGTGACATGATGCCGAGTGCAGAGCTGGGCCCTGGGTAGCCACATGGTCCTGTGTGCTGCTGGTCAGGCTCACTCCCAGGTTTCTCCTGCTTTGAGTCACAACTCCGAATGGAACATATCTTCTCCTTTTCAATAGGCTTCAGCTGGTTTAAAGAGCTTTTGATCTTTTGTATTTTTAGTTTTCTGGGTCTACAAAAATATCGTATGAAAATAAAGGTAATTTTCACTTCATTCCATCTCTCATTCTGCTTATTTTGTTTACTTATCTTCATGCATTTGCTGTAAATGTCACAGCAACATAAATAACAAAGGTGGGAGTGAGGATGTCTGCCGAGTTCCTGATTTGAGTTTCAGTGCCGACACGCTGGGATGCTGGATCTTATTAAACATTGCAACATTCGCTGACAGACTTCTCCTCAGTGGACCAACAACCAGAGAAGACTGAGAAGTGTCACAGGCACACTGTGGAAGGCGCAGCTCTGGGTGCAGGACAGTCAAGTCCTACAAGGACTTCAAGGACTCTGCTCCAGCTTGGGAAGGGGGCAGCACCTGGTGCAACTGAGCAGGAGCCCCAGACTCTGCTCAGGCAGCAGAAGAAGGATGCAGAGACTCCTTCTGAACATAAGCTCAAGGATGTCAATCTAGTACTGGAACCAGCCCTGCAGGGACTGAAGCAGCAGTGTGTGGTGGCCACGTGGAGGAGTCTCAAGTATAACAGAGAAGCTTGATCAGCCACCTCTTGCAGGAGCTTGGCCACCCTGTAGGGCCACAGGAGATCAGGGTGTAGTCTCAGCACCCTCCCTGGCTCTGTTCCCCCTTGAAGGCTTGAAGCTGCTCTTCCTCTAGCGAGAATCAGGAACCATGGCCAGTCCATGGGAGCTGCTGACCTGCGTCAGTGGTCAGCAGCTGGAGGGCAAGCAGGTATACATGGGCAGGTCACTGGGTGTCCATAGGTAAGTCCCCACCACTGAGGGCTACATAAGCACTGAGCATGTCTATTTCATGAATTCTTAAGAGTTGTGTCTTGCAGGTGGACCTGAGCTACCAATGAGCCAGGGCAGGCTCCCAATTTCAGGTCTCCAACAGACATCTCCAATCTCCTGTCCTCTAGAGCCCCCTCTCTGTTTCCCAGGAAATAGTTGGAGCTGCTTGTGCTGCATGAGTCAACTGCATACACCACTCCCTGGCTAGAGAGGCAGCGGTACCACATCCGCAGCTGGAAAATGACTCTGATGGGGATATTTACACTACAGATCATCAGCAAGTGCTGTACTGCCCCAGGACAGGGCTGGTGGGGTGCTCCCTGAGTCCACAGCAAAGGGGCCCAGGAAACTGCTCATCTTCTCAGTGCCCATGCCACCTCCCCCAGTTGGCCTGGGCTGACCTCTGTACTGCCTGACCACCGGCTGGTCCCACACTCCCTTGCCTGGCTGACTTCCAGGTTCAGGGAGGGTCAGGAAAGCGGGTGGTCTCACACCAGAATGACAGTGGCAGAGCCTGGCAGAGCCCGCCTCCACTCTTATCCCCAGCAATCTGCTTACCAGCAATGAGAAAGGCCTTTTTCTTGGTACTGAAAGTTGAACCCAGGGGCACTCTAACTCTGAGCTACATCTGAGCCCTTTTTATTTTGAGACAAGTTCTCACCAATTGCTGAGATTGTCCTCAAACTTGTGATACTGCTGCCTCAGATTCCCAATTTGCTGGGATCACTGGCATGTGTTACTGCACCCAGCCAAAGAGCACTTTTCCAAACCACAAGGCAAATCCTGTCACTTGCCTGCTGACCCACCACACAGAACCCTGTCCCGTCTGGGAAGGACCAGGAAGCAATCTGCCTACTTCTAGGGGATAAATCAAACAGGCCTGGTCCCAGACTCCCATGCAGCTATGATGACCAAAGCCAAATCCTAGTAAATGACACAGGTTAATTCAGCCAAGGGTTTCTAGAAAGAACTGCTCAACTGGTGCAAGGCCAGAGGCAGTGCAGCAAGCTGGCCACTGGGGCTGCCTTGGCCCCAAGCCACCCCCCCACCCCCCACACACCCCCGCACTGCTGAGGTCAGATCCACAGCTGTAGCAGCTGACAACTCAGAATGCACTTGAAAAACACCAGCAGTGCCCCGGCAGGCACACAACCAAGTGGCCCAGCTGCAGGTGGCCTGTCTCTGTCTGCCCGGGGCTTGCTCTGGCCACCCTCCATCTCTGGGTTCTTGCACTGGCTCTTTGCTGCGCAGACTGTCCTCCAGTACCAGGTCCTGGCTCCTCACCTGGCCGACCTCCCCTGCAGCACTGGCCAGTCTGCAGCTGCTCCTCTGTTGACTGCAGTGGGAGTATCTTACCAGGCGACCTCCAGGGTCCAGAACAGTAAGGCAGGCCTGCAAGCAGCCTGTTCCTCGTACTGGTGTTGTTGCTAAGGAGGTGGCCGTGACATCTGCCACCGAAGGCAGCGCAGCCCTGTGCATCTGCCTTGGGGTCAGAGATACCTCAGGGCAGATGCAGCAGGTCCAGGAGAGCACGCATGGGCACCAGCCCACCCTGACCTATCTCCACTTGCTTTCCTTTGCAGGACAGATCAACCTGGTGTGGGCCTTCCAAGCCAGAGAAAGTGAGCCCTGCTTCCAGGCAATAGTGAAAAGTACACATTTAATATCAAAAGCCATTTCAGGTATCATCGATAAGACTACCGTGGAGGGTGGGTTCTAGACACTCTTACTAGGAGTGACCTGAGAGTCCCTGGTCTTGTCCAAGGAAGGACATTAATGCTGGAGATAGATAGGGGCCAAATGGTCGCCCAGGGCCCATGGGGTCCTCATCAGGGACATCCCTACCAGGGGCAGCCCCTGGAGGCCGAGTGGAAGCCTGTCCCCTCCGCAGGACCCTGCTGCCCGGCTGCGGCCTGGCGGTTGCAAGCGGCCTAGCCGCTGGACTTGGCGATGATCTTCTCCAGCAGGCTCATCATGCGCTCCTGCAGCTGCAGGCTCTGCACCTGCAGGATGTTCTGCTGGTCCAGCACGCGCCGCACCTCGCGGCAGGTCTCCTCCATGGCGCGGCTCAGCCTGCGTTGCTCCTCCAACATGGCCTCCAGCAGCCGCAGCTTCTTCTTCTGCAGGTGGCAGCTCTGCACCTTGCGCTTCTTCACTGGCCGTTCCTCTGACCTGCAAGGAGTGCCGCTGTGGGAGGCTGGCCAGAGACCCCCGCCCACCCTGAAGGACAAGTAGGGTCTCCCAGGCCCTAGGAGCAGAGCCCCTGCTCAGGCCCCCAAGCCCACACATGTGAGGAGGGGCTGGAGCCCACCCACCACGACAGTGGGTTGGTAATGGGGTCAGAGGCACCGGGGCATGGAAACCAGCAGGCAATCCATGATGGTCCACAGCTGAGGTCTGGGGAAGGTGAGTGTTCTGGGCTGTGAAGGGCACACGGCCATGAGAGCACCAAGCCCTCTGAGCTGGGCAGGCAGGAGGCCTAGCCCCAGGGTGAGATGGAGGCTGGGTGTGAGGGGGTGCTGAGAAGTATGTGGCCTCCGTGCTCCTATAGGGAAGCTGGACACTATCAGGCCCAGCTGGCCGTGCACAGGTGGGAAACGGGTCCTAGAAGGAAGGGCCTGAGGCTGGAGACCCCTCCCACTCCCAGCAGCATGGAGAGGGGACCAGCGTGCTGAGGGAGACAGGAGGACAGACAGCTGCAGAGGGTAGAGGCAGCCCCAGGCAGTCTAGCCTGTGGCTGTCCCATGGTGCTCTGTTGTCAGGGTGGCGGGCATTGCTGGTTAACAGCCTCGCTGGAGAGCAAGGACTGCCAAGCGCCACAGACCCCAAGGCCCTGCCCTGGTGCCTACATGTCCCCAGCCTGTATGCTGTGTTCTAAGCAGAGCGGGTGACCAGCCAGCCTTGGGGATGGGAGAGTGGGGCCCCATCCCACCCGGCATGGTGCCCCAGGCAGCCGAGTCTGGGAACTAGGCTCAATAATCCATGGGAACAATTGGCCATAAATCTCAGGCCTTGTGCTAATTGGGTCTGGCTGCAGAAAGGCGTTTTTGTCTGGGATCTTCAATGAGAAGTTCCCTCCAGGGAGGGCACTGGGTGAACTGAGTAGAGCGCCCAGCACTGGGGATGCTGGCCGAAGGGACCCTCCTCAGAGATGACTTCCTTGCCCTATCTGCCATCAGACAGACTTGATGAGCAGGGTACGGGGAGAGACTGACTCAAGGCCACATCTTCCTACTCTCATCAACCGATCAGCTTCTACTATACCTTGGAAGCCCGTCCTAAATGTCCCCTTCTCATAAGTGGCTGCTCTGGGCTCCCTGGCCTGTCCTCCACAGGGCACCTCTCCTGGACACAGCCTGGCTGCCAGTGTCTGTGAGCACCCTGCGGGCATGGTCTGGTGGCCGAAGCCTTCCTGTGTTAAGTGCTGGAGCGGAGGGGGCAGGGCCCGCCCACCACCCTGGAGGCTCAGCCCTACCTTCTCAGGTGCCTGCAGGGGCAAGGGTGGGGACCAGGGTGGGCAGGGCGAGCACAGTGGGGCCAGCTTGTCCTCTCCCATGCTCCTGGCAGCCCTCTGAGGAAAACACGGACTGATCCCCATTTTACAGGGGGAGGCTGAGGCCAGAGAGGTCAAGGAACTTGCATCAGCTCCAGGAACGGAGCCGGGCGCGGAGCCGCCTGCCTGCCGACACTAAGCCCTGCTGGCCAGGGCTGGCCTGGCCTGGCCTGGCCTGGAGGTAGGCACACACTGTGACTTTGGCTGAGGATACCACACCAGGAGAGCAGGCGCCCTCGCCACTCCCAGCCCCTTGCTCTGCCCATCTGGCCTCCTGGTGCTGCCTGGGGGTGGGCAGAGGCGGGGCGGCGAGGCACCTGGTCAGAGAAGGAAGAGGGAACACACTACCTGAACTTAAGGGACAGTAAGCTGGAGGAGCTGTCGGAGCCATCGTCCTCGAAGCGGCCTTCGTAGGAGCACTGGGTATACGGTAAGTACAGAGGGGTGGACTTAGCGGACGGCGACAGAGACGCCTCGGTCTGGGACGTGGAGGGCCCCGGCTGCTGGCCGTCTGGTAGTTTGCCCTCACAGGACTCAGGGACTTTGGCCAGAATCCTATCAATGGCTAGGTAATAAGGCCAGTCCGGCGGGACGGACTCGCTATCTGTCATGCATTTTAATTTCCTGCAACGAGAGACAAGAGCCAAGGTGAGAAGCAGCTGGTCCCAGCCAGCCCGCCTGGTCCCTGGCGGGGGCACAGGGCTCCAGGACCCCAGGGAGAGCCATGCTGGGTCAGGCAGGAGCCACTCTTGACCAGTGCGGTCCTCCCCAGCAAAATCAGCCAGGCCCCAGGATGCAGGTGATACTGGACTAGGAAGAAGCGGGCTTTGGGACCTGCTTTAGATGTGAAGAGGGAAGCACACATCCTTCCTCTGGGCGTCCACAGAGGCTGGCTGGGAACTTGGGCTAGGTCCTGTTTCTCTTTGCTTTTCTGTAGTTTATAATGGCAACGAACCCACAGTACTTCTTATATGCTTTAGTCAAAAATAATAAAATATCGTAATAAGCTGTATAGTTCAAATACAGTCATAAGGTTTCATAGTGCCACAGTTTTCTGACCTCAGGGAGAGAGGACCATGGGTGCACAGGCATCCACAGCTTTGAGTCCATATCCTGTCTCCACCACTGCTATGTGAACTTGGACAGGTTCATTAACCTCTCTGAGCCTCCAGTTTTGCATCAGTAAAATGGGGATAAAGGAGTAAGCCCCTCAAGGCTGAAGGGAGGATTTAAGAAAGCCATGCCTGGTGCCTGGCATACAGGACTCTCGCACCACTCTTGCTGAACCTAGCAGGAGGTCATGCTGCACCCTAAGCCCAGGCTGCTGCCTGAACAGCAGCCTGGGTCCAGCTCTGGAATCTGCAGTCTGACCTGAGGCAGTGGGGCAGGGCCCCTGGGCTGAGGGTCTTCACAGTGAGGCTCTGATCACCTGAGAGGCCCTGCAAGCCCCTGGATGGCAGCCTTCTGCTGGGAGGTGAGGGCTGGGAGATGGGGCCTCAGGGCAGCTGGGCAGCTCTGGCCAGGCCAAGGAAGTTGCCACAGGGTGGAGTGGGTGGGGGAATCTCTGCCCACCGGGTCCAGCACCTCCTAAGGCCCAGGGTTCCCCACGTGTTTGCTAACCTCATCTGACCCTCGAGCCTGGTGTCACAAGTGCCTTCCCTGAAGCCAGGGCCCACACCTGCAAAGGGGCATGCCTCCGTTTCCCACACGAGGCTGTCCGCCAGGGTGTGGCCTCTGCTGACGCTGGGCACTGGAGATGATGATCTGGCCGAATGAGTCACACCCAACAAATGGGCACAGAGCTGTAGCAGGAGGCTCCCCAAGGCCCAGGCTCCCTCCACCAAGTGGAATAGTCTCTGTGGAAAGCCAGGGATAGATCACAGGAAGGCCAGGCTGGCCTGTATTCCTGCCCCCAATCTACCCTGGGGGCATGGGGAAGGCAAGGCTTACATCTGGTGCCCACACAGGCCTCTGCCCAGTCTCCTCCAGAGACTCCATTCTACTCCCCAGAGAAATGGGGAAAAGCCTGCCCTCAGCATGGGAGGTCCCAAATGGTATTCCGACAAATCATGCTCCACAAAACTCAGCCACCTTCTCCAACTTCCTTAGCCTGACAACTTAATACGTAAAGAGCTCTTATTAAAAAAAAAGTCTCTGTTGTGGGGAGGCTGGGAGTGGGTAGATGAGATCCAGTCACCCAGCCAAAGCTTTGGCCAATTAAGGACTATTGTCAAGACCCTCTCCTGCTCCGGGCCTCAGTTTCCTCAGGAGCAGCCAAGGGAGAGGTGTGCATGTGCTTCTTAAACTACGAAGTCCGAGTACCCATAGCCCTGCACAGGGACTCTGAGGGAGGCTTTCAGGATAAACAATGAAGAGCCCAGCCAGACACTGACTGGGGGAGGCCAGGGATATTGCTCCTGAAGAACTGAGTCAGAGGGAGTCTAGGGAGATAGCCAGCATGGCCGCCCACCACCTTCAGAGTCCCTGTCTCACCAGGCATGTGAACGGGCGCTGTGGGGACCAGGAAGGCCAGGCAGGCCAGACTTCGAGTTGCCGTCCCATGCCTGTCCCAGCAGTCACCAGACTTCCTCACATCCTGGGCCCAGGGCTCAGGTTTGACATCACCTGTGCTAGGTGACTCTGATGTCAAAGACCCCAAGCAGCTGCAGGACTGTGGTTTTGGCTCCCAGGCCTGGTAGGGGACCAGGTCAGAAACAGTCCTGGGACAGGGACAGGCTCCAGACGGTCTCCTTTTGGGGCCATGAAAGCACAGCTGGAAACAGAGCCTCGTGGCCTTTGATCCATGACCCTAATGGCTCTTCCACAGCTCCCAGGGCAGCCAGGGGCCATGGGACAGGGATGGGGCTCTCCTCCAGTCTTGGTGGAGGCATCTCCCCACCTGCAAGCGGGAGGTGGGACTCCTCTCTCGCATGCAGTGTGGCTAAGGTGCTCACAGGCCAACCCGCAGGGTGCCCTCTGTCTCCAGCACCCTGGCCAGCGGAGCTCACCTGCCTGCCATCCCCAGAACCTTGTGAGCCTCCTACTAGACAGCGCCCCTACCTGGGATACAGCAGGCTCTTGGGCAGCCCCAGGCTCAACCTGCAGAGACAGCTCCTGCTGTGACCTGTGCCCCTTGTTCTCACCTCCTCAAGCCCTGACCTTCACCCCATGCTGTGACTTTTACCCCACACAAAACCTCCTCATGCCCACCCATGACTCTCTAAATGGGCCAGGCCTCATGCACTGTGAGGTCTGTGGCATGGGGCCACAACTGCTCCCTCTTGGATGCCAGAGCCACCCCAGGCCTAGGAGCCATCTTTGTTCCCCACCTGCAATCCCCTCTAAGGCCCCCTCCAACTACCGGCAAGGGACAGTCAGCCTGGGATGTGACAGTGGCAGAGATGGAGACCAGGCCTGGGGACTCCCAGTCAGGGAGTTCAGGGGTCAGGGCTGGGCTCGACTTCTTCTACAAGTGAAGCCCTATCCATGAACTGGGCACTGTCTGGGCACTCTGGGGTTTTCCACATCAGATCCAAATGCCGTTCTTCCCACCCTGAAGCTAGCTCCGTGCTGGACACACAGCAGGGGCTCGTTGATGCTGAAAGTCCCTGAGCATCAGGAGGGGACAGGCCCAGGAGCTGAGCCTCCTCACTCTGGCCTCCGTTTCCCTGCTGGGCTTGGGGGCTGGGGAAGGGTGGTTCAAGCCTGGCTGAAAGCCTGTCGACACTGGCCAGGGTGAGAGGGGGTTGGTCAGGTGGGTGATGCCTGCACTAGGTGTCCACCTCTGAGGCATGGTGGGGCAGTGAGCAGGTCCAACGTGTGTCCCTGGAGCTGCGGCCTGGCACCAAGCCCAGACTCAGGAAGCTGAAAGCACTCCCAGCCCAGCCACCTAGGATTTCCTGACCAGCTTTCTGTCCTTCTGGGCCTTGGTTTTCCCGTTTCCCAGTGGGAGGTTGCACAGGTGGTTTCTGAAGGCCATCTCTTCCCACGGGGCCCAAGTGACAGGTGGGCCCCCGGCCAGGCCACATGTCCTCCCGCCCCGAGGAGCCCACCTGTACTGGAAGGTCATGTTGGTGATCTTGATCTTGATCTCCTCGCCCAGCCTGCGCTCGCCGGTCATCTCGAAGAGCTTGCTGGCCATTTTCTCGTACACCTTGGCGTTGCGCTTGGTCTGCTTCAGCTCCTCGAAGAACTCCTCCCAGACGAGCATGAGGCCGCGCATCTCCGCGTCCGTCCAGTTGCGGGCCCTCCGGTGCTTCTCCGTCTGGGGAGACACAAGGTAGCCAGGCACTTCGGCTGCTGCCATGCTGGAGGCACCTGCGGGGAGGAGGATGGTGCTCAGGTGGGGCCCCAGGCCCGTCCCACACACCATGGGCGGGAGGCACCGCAATCACTCGCTTGAGGCAGCTCCGCGCTCAAAATGGGGCCTACGTCTGACAGGCAGGAATTTAGTTAAAAGCTTTTAAACGGGAAACGTCATTTTGATGTCACGTTTCCATAGCAACAGAGCAACTGCATAAGCTACAACAACAGAAACCTTTTAACTGAAAGCGCAGGAATCGGGGCCGTGCTGACGGGCCATCAATATTGTAGCCAGCCAGCGGCCGGGCCCAAACCCAGCGGCCAGGCGGCCAGCTCTGCCTGCATCTCGCCTGGCCCTTGGGCCATGCGGAGAGGTGTTCCAGCCATGCTGGCCAAGCTACCAAAGGCAAGGTCCGGGCAGCAGCCCCCACCTCAGCCCCACCTGGCTCACAGAGGCCAGGAGTCCAGGGAAGTCCAGGATGGGCCGTGGGAAGACTGTCAAAATGGAGGCACGGTGGGGGAAGGAGAGGAGAGATAGGCAAACAGGGAGCCTGCGATCCCCGGTGGTGACTGACGAAGTGGCTGCTGGTGCTGGGGGTTCCTTGGCTGAGAGACCCTCACCCTTAGGAGGGCCCTGTCAGGTAGAAGTGAGGGTGGGTCCCTGGTCTTGAGGACCAGCACTTCTCAAGAGACCCTGCCTCTCCTGTCATTTGCTCCTTGCTTCTCTTGCTCCACCCACCAAACACCCTGGGCCTCAGGTCACGTGGGCACTGGGAACCCAAGCTGGTCAGAGCCAAGCCCTGCCCTTAGTGAAGGTCAGGGGCACACGGACACTGACCGACTGACCTTTAGCATAGGCTGGTTTGAGGGCAGCACTGGATAGTGAAGGCAAGTCCTGTACTGAGAGATGAGGAAGAGCCATTGGAAAAGCTGGCAACGTTCAGAGGACAATCACTGGAAAGAGCTGGGTGGGGCAAGGGCAGCAAGGCAGGGTGAGCCTGGAGCGTGTCAATGGGCAGGGAGACACATGGTGCAGTGTGGGAAGGCAGGGCCAGCCCAGGGAGTGGGCTTCTGTCCCTGTGGAGCTGAGCGACTGAAACGCCAGGAGGAGTGAGCAGGCCCCTCAGCCTCAGGAGCCAGGAGGCAGGGGTGGTGGAGCTGGGGGTCTGCAGAGGGGATGTGTCACCTCAGGGTGCCGGTGGCTGACTCCATGGAGCTCAAGGCCCCTCTGCTGGACAGCCCATGGTGGACATGGTACCAGCCTGATTCGATGTCCACTGGCCCAGTGCACCCCTGCTGGTCTTGTCCAGCCCCTAGGCCAAGGCTGAAAGAGCAGCAGAACGCTGACCAGACAGGAGGGCTGAGCCTGGAGGAGGCACTGTCTGCACACAGGCAACCCCAGGAGGAGGGCAGCTGGGGTGCCTGACCCCACTGTCCTGCCCAGCATGGAGGCAGTACAGGATGCAGGCAGAAGGGAAGGGCCTGGGAGGGCAGCAGGGTGCCCGGGGAGCCCGAGAGCTCCTGTACTCCCTTCACAGACCTAAGCCACTACCTGGTCTAGGCATCAGCTCTGGGGCCCAGCTGACCCCCTTTCTCTCTGGGCCCTGGGTGTCATCTGGAGATCCAGGGACACTGTCTCTACCCGCTGGCTGTGCGGTGCTCCCCAGGGAGGTTCACAACTGCTGCACTCCTCCCATAGGGGCACCCATGAGAGACCTCTAAGCCCACTCTCTGCCACGTTCAGCCATACTGCTGGCCTGATGGCTTGCTGCTGCCCCTAGAATCCAGCTCCCAGAGCTCTCAGGAGCACTGGCAGAGGGCCTAGAGGCCCGCTCCTCCAGGCAGCGGCTCCTGCAGACTCAGGGTCTGTCCCTTCTGAGGGGGTCCACTCCACTGCCTTTCCCAGCCTTTCTCCAAGGGCGGAGGTGGGGGCAGGAACTGCAGTCCAGGCCGACAGCTTTGACTCCATTCCACTGACTCGCACGACCTTCCTTGACAACGTCCCTCAACCTGTCTCCTCATCTCTGTAGTGGGAAGGACAGGACCTGGCTGGATGACTCTCAGTCACTCAGAAGGCCTCCGGTACAGCCCCTCCAAGCCCCTGAGGACAAGGGGCCCTGCTGCCATCTCCCCGCCCCTTCTCTGAATCTCCTCAGAGCTTCTGGAGAACACAGAACCTGGTGTGCTGTCCTGATTGAGGGACAGCTACTGGCCAACAGGTGTCACTGCTGTGCTCAGAGCCCAGCAGCCAGACTGCTCCAGAGAGGCAGCTACATCCTCAGCTTGCCCAAGTCCCAGTGGGCACAGGGTGGCAGAGCCACCCTAGCAGGAGCTACCCTATAGCTAACCATACTCTAGGTGGCACCTTCAAGGGGTGGGCTTCACCTTCTCTTCTCAGACCTACGGTGCATTGGAAACCTTGGATAGGGTGTTCTCTGGGGCTACTTCCGGAAGAAGCAACTTTGCCTGAAATCCCAAGGACAAGAATGAACTGGGCTGGTCAAGTCAGGTGGGCCAAGCCCCAGCTGTCCCTGCTAAGTGGCTCCATCTGTCTCCCGAGGGGAGGGGCTCCATACCTTGGCAGAGTTGCATGGCCCGCTGGAACCCTCAGTCACTGTGGGATCAGGAGTCAGAGGGCCTAGGGCTGGGCACCCAGCAGCACCTGCAGGGGAGAGGGTGCAGTCAGGCCTCAGCTGGAGCACCCCTAGGAGGCCGAGGCACACGGTGTGGGTCCACGCTGGTCCTCCTGTGCACAGGCAAGGCCCACCTCTCTGGTCTTCCTTCTACAGGAGGTGGCGGGGCCCAGCCCCCAGGCACATTTCATTAGCATCTAGGGTACAGGTGCTGCTTAGCCTGGTGGGCTGCGGGAAGCCAGACCCACTCAGAGGATCAGCAGGGCTTGTCCCAAGTGAAGCCCAGAGCAGGAAGTACATAACCCATGGGGAGAATCTGGAGGTTGAAGGATTCAGAACTTGGCAAAGGCCAGGAAGCACCAGGAGTGTGTGGGTGTGGTGGGGTACATGAATGTAGTCCCTGGGGGGCAGATGGAAGGGCCGAGGCCACGGGGCCTTGAGCACTTGAGAAGCTCTAGGAAGGGAGGGAAGAGGTGAACCAACAGTGGCGGGTGGGAAGGGTCAGATCCCCCTCAGGTCTAATGAGCCCCAGTAGCTCCTGGGGCCTGGCTGCCGATCCCAGGGTGCACGACACAGAGCCTGTGGGTCTGGCTCATGTCCTGGGCATTGCACCTTTTCCTCATGCCAACGAGGAACACAGACCCATAACTTTTAGCCTTCTTCTGCACTTGACAGGCCCCTGCCCTAGCTCCACCAGGTACCCAAGGGTCAAATGCCCATCTCCTAGGTGGGACTGAGAGTCCTGTCTCTGCTAGGCTGTGAGGCTGAAGGTCTTGCAGACTTCAAAGAGCTGGGCCCTCTCTGTCCACAGGCCCCTGGACCACAGACCATGCTGCTTACAGGCCAGCCTCGGGGCCCCCACCACTGTGCTGCCCAAGCGGGGTTCCCTGTCCCGGTTCGGCTGTCACACCATTCCAAGGCAGGACCCAGCTACCCTGGCCACTTGGCTCATCCACTGGGCAGGGTTAGTAAGTCTCCCTCTTTGGGAGACTACTTCAGAGAGCTCTCTGGAACAAAGCCAGCTACAGCTGGAAATGGGTGCCACTGGAGGCACAGAGGGTGGTCCCCAGGACTTCCAAGCCCTCAGAGCTCCCACAAGAAGATGCGCAGGGGACGCTGTGGAGAGGGGGAGAGGGTGGCGGCAGGTTCTCCTCTGCTTAGGTGGTACACACATGGGGGCTCCTGCTCAGCTCCACTGGTCTGGAAACACCAGCCATGCCAGGTATGCCAAGGACCATCCTGTTTTCACCCAAACAATGGTGGTTCAGTGAGGAATAGGGTGCTTGGTTTCCCTGAAATGAGCAGAACTTAGCAAGTTTCAAAGGGTGAGGCCATCAGGGACCCTGGAGTTGTCACTGAGATTCAGGGTGTTGAAGTGACTCCAACTAACACTCAGTGCAACTGAGGGAAGAAACAGACTGGGTGGAGCCATCCACCAGGCCATCTGGCCGATGCTCACTACCCTGTGCTGAGAAAGGGGATTCCGCCTAGAACAAGCAGGTGCCGCCCGGTCCTGAGCTGAAAGGTCCTTGTGGTCTCTCCTGGAAACAACTGCAGGGCCTGCTCTGCAGAGGAACAGGGGGACGACACCTGACAGCGAGCTGGAACCACACGGACCTTTGGTGAACACTAGTGCAACTAAACACCTTGCTCAGGGCAACCCACAACCCAAGATCACCACCACACTGACCACCAAGGCTCCAGAGGAGGTTCCAGCCAAGAAGGAAAGAGTCCCTGTAGAGCTAAGCAGATACGTCCTGGGGAGGAGGTATTTCAAATGGGAAGGACTTACAAGCTAAAAAGGTTGGGAGGGGCACTGCAGACATGGTGGCCAAGCCAGGCCAGGGGAGAACAGCTGTGCTGGGGGACAGCAGGGTGCAGCTGGGACAGGACATCAGTGACCAAGGGGGCAAAAGGGTCAGTGAGGCCATGAGGGGACACCAAAGCCAAGGTTGTGTGAGGACACAGATCTTGTCACCCTCTAGTGCACTGAAGCCAAATGTGGAGCAGAAACAGGGACACACCTGAGGTTCCTGCCCAACCAGCTCACGGTCCTACCCACTGTCAGAGCTTTAGCGGTCCACGTCTGCTAGGCAGGGAGCCGGCTGCACCATGGCCTGTGGGTTCCCTGTCGGAGGCACCCATCACATGTGGACCTGGCTCCACAGTGTCTGCTGACTACTGGGAGGCTGTCAGCACTGACCCCTGGAGAAGAGAGGGACAGTTTCCTCAACCCTGGAAAGCACGTTCTCAATGAGCAAAGCAGGCCTCACACAGCAAATGTGAATGGTTTCATTGTTCCTTTAATTGGATATACAATTTTTGCAGCAGTTTAAAAAATGTAAATATACATCTCACATCAGTCCTTCCTCTCGGCAGTGCACAGTCAGGTCTGGGCTGGGCTCCGGGACTGGCCCATCACTGCCCTGTTGGCCCAGCAGAGCCCACAATGTGAACGGCAGACCTGGTGGAGGCCCTAGACGGGAGACAAAACATTGCAGGCAGGTCCCTCCATCCAGCCTGGGGCAGAGGGAAGGGGCTTGCTGGACGGCATTAAAGCACGACAGGCACAAGGGGAAGATGACCCTGAACCTTCCGCGTCGCGTTCAGTTGTCACATGGCTCTCAGAGCAAGTCCTTCCTTCCCGGCAGCTCCAGGCCCAGTGTGGGACAGTCCTCTCTCACCTGTGCCAGCCTGCACCGCCCACCGGGCCTCAGCAACTCCAGGTCTTTTCTTTGCCCAGAGGGCAGATCTGAGTTCATCCAGGTTGGTTGCGATGGTCCCAGGCACCCAGCACAGAGGGAGGGAGGGACGAAGCCCAAGCGAGGATGCCATTTGATAGGAAGGATGCTCACAGCTAACAAGAGGAAATGAGTTCCACCCCCACAATCCCACCCGTGAGCTCACTCACTCCAGATCTCCTCTCCGGGGGTGGGGGGCGCTCGGCCTCCTGGGCTACAGCTGGCGTGAACTAACTTATTGCTGAGACCCACCAGCCGAGCTCCAGGTAGGGCAGCCCCAGATCACCTGGAGAAGCTCCCGGATGGCCAAGGGGCCCTTCAGGGGAGGAGCCTTCCCTGAGGCTACATTCCGCTTCTGGAGGTGTTTCCACTCCAGTCTTTCCTCCTGAAGGGCAAGTGCAGGCCAAAAGGAGAGAACAATAAAGGGCCCTTGGGAGTTGGAAAGTCACCTCCGTATGGGGCCATCAGTGGAAGGGAGGCACATTTTTGGAGAAAAAAACATGCTTAAGTGCATTGCCAAATAATTCTACCCTGGTTTCATTAAAATCTTTCCTGATAGTACCAGCAGGAAAACAATAACCCACCCTCCCCTCAAAACCTTAACAATCAAAATGACACTTTCAACAACATTTGGAAAGCTATAGACTAGGAGGAGCTTGATGAAGTGCAAGCCTTCTGCAGAGCTGACAAGGAGGGTGGCTTTCTGCAGTAGGGCTCCCCGAGGCCCACTCTGAGGGGCTGGAGCCACACCGCCGACTCCTCGGCAGGTCTTTAAGAAAGGTCCACCTCCAGGCAGAATGGACACTGCATTCTTGGAGGCCTTGCATATTTGTCTCGAAGTGTGTGTGTAAATAAAACTATGGGTCTGGACTTGTGCCTGTACCTGCGTACCTCTGCATGGGTGCGACAGCTTCTCTCATGGACTCCACGCACACACAGGAAGGTGTTTGGGTTGCATCGTCACCAGAGCTGGGTTTCAGATCACAGGGTAAACGTGGAGGTGGCCAACTAAACCTTGTAGAACCCAGTAGTAAGAATCCCATGGGGGTGGCCCCAAATGTCACATTCACAGTGCTACTTCTCACAAATGTAAACATCTAGCCAGGAACAGTCTCCCTCCAGTGCTTCTGCACAAGCTGCTGAACAGCCTGGGGGTGGGCAGAGCTTCTGTGGTTCCCAACTCTACAAGGCAGGACTAAGGGACGCTGGGACAAGAAACGTGAGGCCCAAATCGCTAAGGGAGAGCTGGTGACTTTCCTACTTGTCACACAGATTCTGTAGCTTCCCTTAAGATTCTTCTCTAAAACCAGATCCATTTCTACCCTTTCTGCTGCACTGGCATCAGGATGGGTGATCCCAGCGTGGGGAGGCCTCATGGTGGCTGAGGCAGTGGCTCAGATGGACTCTTCTGATGCACTGTGTGCCGTGCAACCCTGCACCCCAGCTGCCCTTTGCAGGAGAGGGAAGGAGGCTCAGGGCCTCAAGATAGCAACCCACAGACTGATGTGTAGTCAACTGACAGACTGAAAGATTTCTCCTCCTCTGCAAGCTCCAGAACACCTCCAAATGACCCCCACTTGTCACAGTAAACACCTGGAACACCAATCATCAAGAGCAATCAACCAGCACCACTGACACCAGACTAGCCAGGCTTGCCTCCTGGGAACTGGGAGGCAAAGCACCTACCTGGGCACGGCCCAGCAGCAAGCAGAGTGCTCAAAGCATGCCAGTGAGCCAAGGGCATCTCACTGTCCAGGGTTTTCATTTCATTTCAACAGTTTGGCTATTTTAGGCCTAGAAACAGGAAGCTGGTTCAGAAACCCAGGGCCTGCGACACAAGTGGTGGCTGACGGGGACGTGGAGCTGACCAGTCACTGACCCTTCCCTCGGTACTACCTCATCCTGCCTGAGATCAAGCCCTATTCCTGGGCTAAAAGGGGCCCCACGCATGATGCAAGAAAGGAGAAGAGGTGTCTTGCAGCTGCCAAGACACTGAGCTTTGCTCTAGACCAAGGGTGGGCGGGGCGGACAAGGTATAAGTCAGAGACACCCATGAGACTGCCAGACCAGGCCCCTCGTCTGGGCCCCACTGTGCAGAAGCAGCAAGAGGTCGGCACATCCAGCACCAGTAGGCCACAGCCCGGGGCCAGCTCGGGACTGGGCTGCAGTTGTCAGAGCTGGCAATTCTGGATGCAGTGGAGGCCACTCAGAGCCAGGCAGGGTGACAGGGAAGCCACGTCCCTTATGAGTGGGAGGAGAGCTCTCCTCAGGCCTCAGAGCAGCTCCAGGGAGGACTTCTGCTGCAGACACCTGGATACCAGCACCTCCATCATTCTAACCAGATGTGAATGTGTGAAAAGGGGGGAGACGTGCAACCAAGTGGTCAGGAATGAGAAGAGAAGGGCACGGGAGGGACCTGCCAGTTGGAGGATTCCACTCCACGGGCGCTGTTACATGCAGCACAGCCCTCACCAAGTCACACGCTTTACACGGGCATAGGAAGAGTTACGTTAAAATTAATCTCTTTACTGATATAATTAAATTTTAAGTCCTGAGAAGAAAACAGAGAAAAGGGAGAAGGGCACTGGGCGACTGGCACCCCCAGCTCCCAGCTGCCACACAACACAGTGCCTGTGCAGCTAGACTCCGGTGGCAGGTGCCCTGCTGGATAGGGCTGTGCGTTGCTCTTCAGGCTGCTGGCCACTTCCTCCCATGGGACAGGGTGGGCTCAGGGCCAACTTGCAAGGGCAAGGATTTACATCCTGGACACAAGGGCAGCTGTGACTTGGTGACGAGGTACAGGTGAAAGCTAGGAGAAAGACAAACACCTGGTCGACAGGCATTGCCACCAGCTGCAATGAGGACAGCGACACAGGACTCAGGCTCAACCCCACTACGCTGCATGTTCCCTGTCCAGGACCTACACTGCCAAGAGCTTCTGCCACAGGGCAAAGACACACACATAGCTGGCTGGCTGCCCGCGAGACCCAAGCCAGAGCCACGGTGCCCAAGGCAGCCCCTGAGAGACAGGGCGCTTGGTGCAGGCTCCCATAAGCCCTGGCCCCAGTGGCCACCTCTGCGTGGCCTCTGCCTCCACAGGTTCTCAGCAGGTGGTGACCTTGTGGACATTTCTCAAACAAGTCAGCAGTCGGTGGTACGGGCTCCCCGGTGCCGCGACCACCTCAAACACAGACTGGAAAGCCCTCCGGTCGAGTTCCTCCTCTATCTGATGTTTGTAGAAGTCTGTGGCAACCAGGCAGAAAAGGTTCACGTCCACCTGCTCCAGCTTGCCCATCCTGCTGACGACGTGTGGAAGGCTGGCGGAGGAGTCAAGGGAGAACGCTGGCAAAGTTGGGGACAGCCTCACTGTGCTCCTAGGGAGATTCTTTCCTGACCAGGCCTCCACAACGCCCAGAAAGAAAGGATCAAAGGTGGCCAGAGTAGCCAAGGAGCATCCTGCACTGCAATGTCAGCACCAGCAGATCCTATAACCCTCTCCCAGCAGGGCAGGGGCGTGGGCAGAGCTGGCCCAGGAGGTGGGAGCCCTGCAGGCATATGCTCGCTCCTGGCGCTCTGTGCCACGGCACTTACCTGGCCAGGCCACCTGGGCAGCGCTGGCTGGTGGCTGATGCTTCCGTGTACCCCGCTCAGGGCAGGGAGGGCCTCTGCCTGGCCGACCCTCCCAGGCACGCCGGGTGAGGCTGTGCTGGTCAGAGGCTCCTGTGGTCTGTCTGGGGGAGGGCTGCCTAAGGAGGAGCTCCTGGCCACCAGCACTGCAGGATGGGTCAGGGGATGGGGGCTGGATCTTTACTTATGCCTCTCCCCAGGAGGGCCATCACACAATGAGAGCTAATGAGAAGCAGCACAGGAAAAGCCCAGCACTCCCAGGCTGCCCTGCCTCCCCTTTTTCCCCTCCACTGGCCATAATACTTCTGCCACACACCAGCCCCTCTGGGCAGCCTTGGTTGGCTCAAAAATGCCTGGCCTTCTGTTCTGTGTCCCTGTCAATGTTTTACATTCTCCTCAACATCTGTGGGGCTCTGCAAAGGTGAAGAAGTTTCTAAGCTTTCAACAAAACTGAACCCAGGTGCCCTGGGACGGGCAAGGCCCGGCAGCAGGCAGGAACCCAGCCATGAGGACCAGGGAAGGATACATTGCCGAAACCCACGGGCTGGTGGACGCACTGACAAAGAAGCAGGAGAGGCTCCACATGGCCATGGCGACTGGGGTCCTCTGCGTGAAGTTGGACAGGGACAGCATGACCCAGTCCCGGACCATGGATGACTGCCCAGCACTGTGCAGAGTCTGAAATACCTGGGAAGGAGCGAGACACCTGAGCACAGGGAAGGGCCTGAGGGTGGGGCGGGGCGGGGGGGGGAGCATGCATTATTCCCCC